ATGTATTTTTGTTGCATTCTTGTTTTTATGTTTATCTGTCTCAAGGTGAGGTTATCTAGAAATAAATGCAGGGTAATGTAACTGGCTTCCCTATTATCACTTTAATTGTGTGTTAAAAGCAGTGAAATGTATTTAGAATTTTCCCTTCCATAGTCTAGGAAAATTCTTCTATGAGGGGAGGAAGTTGAGATAAGGTGGCATAAAGGTTCTTTGTCTAAGATGAGTTTTCAGACTGCAATACTTTCATATCCGTGGTGAAATCCTGTGCCTTTGTTTATGAAAAGGGTTGCAGCCTCGAAGGGTACTCCAGTGGACAAAGACATAAAACAAGTCTTTTCATCAGGGTCAGGAGATGGACACATTATGTATGAGTGAAAGAATCCTCCCCCCTGGGAGTTCAGCACAAGTAAACACAGGGATATATATAAGGTGGTTTCCTGAGAAGAGAGGACAAACTTTCCTGTTTGAAGCTATGGCCATGTTGGCCTGCTAGAATGATCATTCATCGTGTATAATGCAACTGTTAAGGTTGCAGCATCAAGATATGCAACTGTTAAGGTTTTCATCTTATTAAAATTCATGTTATTGTTAAAACTTGAGTTAGAAGTTCATTTCAACCCTATGTCACAACTCAGGGTTTGCATGATGGTTTCGGCCACTACACCACAATATTCAGAGAAGGATTTCTGACTTCTAAGATCAAAAGCAGTAATAATTATGTTTTCATTGTTCTTCCAAAATTCTCAAAAAATAAATTCCTGTATAACATGCCCATCACATCTTAATATCATGAAAACATTTTCACTTTGTTACATTTTTGCAAAAACGTCCCTAATTTTAGATCTATAAATCTCATCTTCAAATCTTTCTAAACATTCAGAGGTGCAAGATCTAAAATACGAAATAAAAATCAAGTTTTCTAAGAGCAAAAAGCCACAAGGTTTTCAAAAAGAAAATTCATAGAAGAGTGTAAAGTGAATTTTATAGGGCAAATTGATACATATTTGAATATTCTGTGATAATTACATAGGAAAAAACTCTTACGATAACAAGTTATGTTGACTTTAAAACAATTACATTAGCTAATTTGCATTTGTTAAGTATATCAGAACTGTTCTTTATAGTATTTATTATCTTGTATATTTTTTAGATTCAAAATATTCCAATCATAAGTCACCAAAATGGAAAGTAATGCCACTCTATAATAAGGCAAGGGTTAATAAAAATGTTTCATTTTAATGTTATTTCTTAAATATAATTTTAATATATTGCAATTATTTTCATAATAGTTATCAATGTTGCTATGTTTGTTAAAAAAATCATCAAAAAATTCATAAATCTCCCAATAAAAAATTTTGCATACAAATTTTTTCTACACCTGTTTTTTACACCTAAAATAAATAAAATCAATTTTTATGTTATAACTATGTTAAAGAGTTTAGTAAAATGTCCAGATGACAAATTCTGCTTCAGTAACTAGAATCTGAATGATGTAGCATTCTTCCTTATTCCTTAAAAAAAATCTTTCTAATGGATTCCGTTACACTTCATGTTGCATTTTTAAAAATGGCCATTAATCTATTGCATTTTAAACGTTAACAGATTCATAAAAATTTTAGGATCTGCTAAACTCTTTTTCTTCACAACATGTACAGACATCAACATCTCAAAAAGACTAAGATAGATTTGCACATGGGCTTTAAAAAGGACCATTTTTAGATCATCGCATTATCAATACTGCACACAAGTCGTAAACATAAAAGGTTTTTCTAAATGAAATAAATTCAATTTCAATAATTAAATCTCCAGTAAACTGATATGAATAAGCATTGCATGATATTAACCCTTACTTACACAGGTAGAGCACAAAGTGCTCCAGTCTTTGAAAACTCCTTTATGAATTCCAAGAAAATCATGTGGCCAATACATGCTCCCAATCTAACCTCTGTCCATTTATTCGTTTCAGAAAATGTAGTGGTAAAACGTTGATGACCGCAGTTTCCCGCCTTTATTTTCAGGATTGTTTTGGACAAGTCTCTTGTGGCACGCAGAATGCTACACTTGTGTAACAATGTAAATACTTGTTTTTACTCTTGTACCATTTTTTTTTTTTTTTTTTTGGATACAGTTAGAAAGTAATATTATTCATAATACTTCAGGATTATTTAATTTCTCAATCTTTTCAAATTATTTATTAATATGCAAAAAATAAGTCGACTTTTTAAAAATTTATTTCAGATTTTAAAGGAGAAAAAATATAGTTCACCTGATGATTATGCGAGACTTTATCAAGAGTTATCAGATAAAGAATTAAGAGAATATAATGACAGTGAAGAGCAGATAAATGTAAGTGGTTATGATTTTTAGTCTAAAATAGAGGCAGATTTTGATGAAGAAACTATAGAAACAGATATGAACAACAATGAAGATTACTTTACTAAACTATTACACAAAGGTAAAATAAGTAAAGAAAATGAAGCAAGTGAAATCTACAAATGGGAAAAAAATCTCTGATCAAAAGTAAGTATTCAAAAATTTCACAGAAAAATATTTTGAAGACATTGTCATTGTTAAACGAAAATGATTTTGCAGATGAATTATCTGCATTTTTCAAAATTATTGATGTAGAAATGATCAATTTGATAATTTGCAATATAAACAAATACTGAGTATAGCCGTAATAACAGAATTGGCAAAGAATACTACAGATTCATCACAAAAAATTCCACTAGAGATGAAATTATGGCAGAATGTTATATCTGTTAGGCTAACAAGGTAAATCCATATGAATTGGAAAACAATGGCACAAGTATTGAACTTCAGGCCATTAAGTCTCTAAATAGATATCAATTTCTTCTCAACATTATTCGGTTTGATGATAAAAGTACAAGAAATTTAAAAAGAAAAAAAAAGACAAGTTTGGCCGAATAAGAGATTTTTTAGATGCTTTTTGTACAGCACTGTAAAGAATCCTATCACCAGGTGAACAAGTTACTATCGATGAGAAACTAGAGCCATTTTGTGGTATGCAATATATACCGTAGAAACTTGCTAAATACAGAATAAAGATGTTTGCACTCATTGATGCAAAGACTTTTTACACTAACAATCTTGAAGTATATTGCTTGACAGTCCATATCATGTTTTAAATATGCCTTTTGGCATAGTTTACAGATTGATTTCTCATTTAATAGAATCATGGAGAAATTAACAACCGATAACTAGTATGGCAATTACTCCTATGCAAAGTCTCTACTAAGTGATAAAATTACCTTAATAGGAACAATAAGTTCAAATAAAAAGGAAATTCCACACAAATTTTTTCCTCCAAAATCAAGATAAGTTGGCTTTACACTTCTTGGATTTCAAAAAGACATAATTCTTCCCTCATATGTACCAAAGAGAAATAAATCTGCTACAATCTTCAGTACAATGCATGATGATACAAGTATTGACAATGAAACAGGTAAACCATGTGTAATTCTTGATTATAATCAAACAAAACATGGTGTGGATCTAGTTGATCAACTAGGAACTATACTATCTCATGATTTGCTCACACTGTAAAATTTTCAGTTGAAAAAAAAACCAAATGAAACAAATAGATTTTATATATATAAATTGCCATGATCAGAACAGGTGTGTGTGATTATGGCAAAGCCTCGAGGGCTATCTGCCTAAGGGGAGGGATGCCTTCGTGGAGGACTTTCTAAGGGAAACTGGCTCGTATACACGTTACACATGGGGAAAACCATGAAACGCCCATGCAGCCAGCCCGTTCGCGGGATTCGAACCTCGGACCGAACTACCAGTGTTCAGCGACTTTACCGCTCGGCCGCTGGTGGGCCCATGATCAGAACAATAATGAACAACATGATGTGTCCGAATAAAAAAAATTGCAAGTTTCCCTTTTTTGTCAAATGTATTTTATTCTTGAGTTTTCAATAAATCACATATAAAGTATCATTTTATACATTATAAATATCAATTTGATATAATTTAATGAAATAAATTTGATTAATTTATTTCATTGCTTAGCATGCATGTTATTTATTTAAATAATTTATTTACTAAAAATATGGCTTTATGACTGAGAAAATAACTGGCATATTATGTGCACCAACTGTGTAACTACATAATTTTTTACCACTTGAGTAACAAATTGTTAATTATATCTAGTTAAAAAGATAAGTCAGATAAGATTAATACTTTAACTATTAGCCTCTGGTAAGGCTTCAAACAGATCTTAAAATTTTACATATTATTCATCTCTTTCACAATTGTGTAAAATTAAAAATTATGATTGAAATTGGTAAATTTTCTTTCCGAATATATATCTTTTCTCTGTTTTAGGAAATGGCACCTCGGGAAGGTGGCTCTACAGAAATGCTGTTCGAATAACATATTCTAAATTTAAATTTATTTCAAGAAAATATATAAATTAATAAAAAAAAACTGCAAGGTTTGTAAAACCAGCATACAGCATTTGAAGAAATGTATGAATGCATAATTTCTGTAACACATTAATTTCTGTATGATTTATAAATATATACAGGTTATTTAAAAAAGAATAAGTTGATTTTACTTGTTACAAAAATGTATCATCCAGTACCAAACATGGAAAAGAAGAAAGATTATATTAAGATACATATTCCAATGATACAGTGCAATTTGTCTGATCCTGTCTTAAGGATATGTTCCTCAAATCAGGGTCAACTTTGCCACTAAATTGCTATAGCAATGCCTTCCATAAATGTTGTACAACAAGAATGTGGGTGGCACAAAACTCATTAATCTTTGATTCCAGTCAATTTATGTAAGATTCAAATAAAGAATGTCTGACGTAGCAAACTTTCAGATTTTTCTAATCAAGTACCATACTTTTTGTATTGTATAAAATAATAATTCTGAATGCAAGTAAAATTCCCTCCTCATTTTTTTAAACATCCAAAACTTCATCATATAGTAATATTGTCTTTAATTTAGCAAAAATAACTTACTACTTTGCACAATCAATCAACTGATATTCATTTGACCTTTCAAATGTAGATTGAACACCTTTATCTTTCCATAAAATCTCTGTGTGCTCATAAAATTCCTATAAGTAAAGAAAAGACATAAAACAAACAAACTGGAAAAAAAATTTTTTTTAATACTTAAAAGTTAGCGCATTCCTTAATAGTTAATTATTTTATCAAGAATATCCCAGCTCATTTTTTGTTTGAAATCATATCTTTAATACATTAATATGAATTTACTAAGAATCCAAATTCCAAATAAATTGAATTCAGTACTTTATAGGTTTACAAATAATAAACTAACAGAGGTTTTTAACACATTTTTTTAAACATACTGTTTTTTAGATACTTGGTTTTTCAATAACTGAGCAATAGTTTGTTATGTCCTTCAATAAAAACCCATATAAAATTAGTCAGCAATAAAACAATCACTTACAGGAGGATAATCAAAATCAGGATTACTAGCCACATCCTGAATGTAGTCAACTCGCCATTGGTTTTCGGGATTTTCCAATGGCACTGGAGGAGATAATGTGCTCATTGCTCCAGTAATTGTCTGAAAATATTGCATAATGCACATTAAAAAATATTATGAAAAATAAAAACAATAATAATCTCATTATTTATGTTTCATTAAAAAAAGGTTATTCCATAAATCTCCTAATTTCCCTACTATTTCAAACATGCATCATCTAGATAAATAACATATTTGACATATGTTCCTCAATATCCATGAAATACATACCAAAGCACAAGCAAATTCCAGCAAAACGTTTAACAATATACTTACTAAAAAATATAATAAAGAACAAAACACTTATAAATCATAACCCCCCCCCCATTTTCATTTAACTTGAAGAGACAAATGCCTTTGATATTAAAAGAGATTTTTAACCTTAAAAGAATACAGTTCATATAATGTGCCTTATGAAAAGACCAGCTTATCATTTAACATTTTTATTTTTTTAAGCAATTAATCAAATATAAAAACTACATGCATTCCCAATGATCAATCATGATATTATTCTATAACACATATTGCTGATCATAAGGCTAGGCATTAGTGGTTTAGGAGTGTTAATATTACAAGAAACACATATACAAGGACCCCCCCCCAAAAAAAAAAAAATTCCACTAAAAGGTCCGAAAAGATTTAGAAACCCTTGAAGAACAAATATTAAAAATTTCATTTGATCACTAATAAAGCCATTAAAATCACACAAACAAGAAGTGAAAATTAAATTAAAGACCATTTGTGTATTTTGTTTTTCAATAATTTGAGTACAGAAGACATTTTTGGAAATAATTTGATTGTACTTTTTTTCATGCTAAAAAAATTAAAACTACAAACATAAAATTTAAAAACTGGCAGTACGTTTTATAAAACGAAAAGTAAATTATGTTTCTGAAGATGGCACGAATCAGTTACAACTTTGAATGAATAAAAGATGCTATACAGCTGGGATAGCAAATGTCATAATATAATTTCTTGACACTTCAACGATAAGTATTATTGTTTCCTCTACGTGAATTATGTGTCCTGACTAAATAAGCATTTTTGCAAGTTCATGCACAGAAAATATCAGTTGTAAACTTTGTGTGTAAATGACTCAGTGAAAAAATGGAAGCTATAACTTAATATAATGAAATCTTTTCTTTATTAACTATGACACATGTTTCTTAAATGAATACTACTTCTAAATATAGCCACTACAATCCTGCAGTCACCGTTTTGTGTTTGCATGCTGAGTACCTACATCTGTTTTGTCTACTGCAGGTCATATGACCTAGTGTTTGAATACCACTAGGTTAGAGCATTTAAAGATGACATACTAATGTTCATGACGAGAAGGGATGAGGGCGACCATCTGTTATCACTGAAGACTTGCTGTCAAAAGTTGATGCAAAAGTTCCAGAAAACAGACATTTTACTATTTCATCATTAAGTGATGAGTTTCCTCAAGTTTCAAGAAGTACTTCATGGAACTGTGGCAAAATGCTTAATAGGAAATTTGTTCACGTGGAAATTTATTTCAAATACTGAATGAGATACACAACACCAATTGTGTAGCCAGCGCTTTGACTTTCCTTCAGCAGCCTTCACTGGGGTGTATACACTGGCTTAGTGTTTTGCTAAGACAATAGCACTTTGGGAATACTGAAACATGAGCCTGGCAGTTTTAGAACTCATGGAAAGACTGGACTAAGGAGGATTGGCTTAAGTTTCTAAATTGGTGGTATCAGGAGCAACGCAGCAGCTACTGAATTCTGTGCAATTCTCCAGGGTGGGATGTCCTGTGTAGTACTGTCAGGAGCTTTCCTTGACGACCATGTTTGTTATTTTTTTTTTTTTAATTTTATTTTATTTAAAGCTTGAATACCAAACTGCAAAAATTTTTCTACTGAATCATTTACTTTTCAGAATGGTTTGAAGAGTGGAACGGCCATTAGTCCTTTTTTAATTTTATGAGCAATCATGAAAATAAAAGCCTCTAGTTGTGAACAATTTAGAAAGATAAAATGAGAAGCAATGATTCTAACTCAAGACCAAAGCTAAAAGACAAACAATCAGGGAACTAGTGTTCAGACTATCACTGTTCTTACAACGATATGCAACTCCTAAGGAAGGGATTAAAAAAATTAGTGTTGTGGTCTTTTTTGTTAAATCAAACAAGTTAAATTAACTTTCAATAGCTAATTTAATTTGAAATCAACATCAAAGTGATTACTTCAAAAAGCTGTAACAATTACAACAATTTTGGATAAATTACACACAATAAAAACAGAAAATATACAAAATGAAATTCATAATGCAAATTTTAGAGCATCCTAATTACTACGTGAATTGCAGCAAAGTAAAAATGTTTGTATTGCATTATGTATACAGGAACTAAGAAGCAAAAAATAATTCAAGAAATTGAATTTCTATACCAAGGCATGCAAATAAAGGTAAATAATTTTTATTTTTTTAAAATAAGCATATAACATACTTAATCAAAATAACTTAAGGAGATTTTACACTGACAAATTAAATATTAATGACCAGTGATCTATAGCTCTACCCGACGAGACAGCTCCTGACCTAAGCTGTCCTGTAGGACAACGAACAGGATGATGCCGTCAGTGAACTACAACAGCGGTTCTTATATTGTGTGTAGCAACATCTTGGGATGCCACAAAATATTCAAATATTTTCATGGAAATAATATTTAGACTTCGTTTTTTCAGAATCTGAGCACTGATCCGCTAGTCCAGTAACAGGAATAGACTACATACAAATCATATTTTTTTTTTTTTAAATACCTATCAGTTTATAAATTTGTTCGAAAATTACTTTCAAATAGTTAATAATGATAAGTTGTATAAATTCAAGACCTTTTCAGAGCCCAAGTTCGATGTGATTTCAAAACTAAATCATACAAAACCGCTTCACGACAATACAATGAAGACATAATTTAACAGCATGGAACTGACCAAGTTCTGGATATCATTAAATGATAAGAATCCATATGCGACTTCATGTTTATACATAATGAATTTTCCTCTGTTTTTGAAATAAAAAGGAAGGATCATAAGAAAATTAGTGTGCAAAAGGAAAACAGTGTGACTACATCCAGTTTAATTCCAAGATTTCAAAAGAAATGCAATGAAAAAAGCTTTATCTTCCCTACTAATAATGATTTATTTATTCAAAATACGTGGAACTTATTTCATGCATCTTATACATTATTATTTCGAAGTTATTATTATGATCAAACACCATCAACTGCTAGAATGTCTAATTTAGGGCACCATGGGAAAAAATCTGGTACATTCAGCATTGCTAACTAAAAATGCTTGGGAACCAATAAACTGCAGCGAACCCTCTCTAAACTATCTACATATTCAGGTGACAGTGTAGGTAGTTCTTTACAAGATATGCACGCTTTTCTTTACATTTTCAGAAATACTTCTGATGACTCCAACGTATGTGTGGTGAATTGAGCCCGATAAGAAAAACCATTATTATTATTTGATCGACATCTGGAAGTAATACCACACACTCTTACATTCCTTTGAAAAGTATCTGCCCTAGATTCATGGTCATTCACAGCATATAAGCCCATGATTACAAAGCCGCACATTCACCACAGTTACAGATGTGCAAAATTTGTAGGACTCTTGAATAACAATAAAGTATCATAATATGTTATGGCATTTTCAATGAATGCATATGAATCTGGTGAATGCCATATAGGTATCACTTCCCAGAGTTCTATGTTGTCACAGTGAAATTTAACACAGGAGGAATTATGATGTGGACTTGTTTTCTTGGTTTTTATGCTTCAAATCCTGAATGTTGAGGTGCACAAAGCATTAGTGGACAATTTTGTGCTCTCACCTATGGCAAAAATTCAGGACTGGCCCAGGCATTTTGCTGCCCCATGCAATCTCTGCAGGTCCTAAATTCTACTGCCTAGAATATGAAAATTTTCCTGCGACTGAATTTTACCTTCCTGAAATTTAAAAAAAAAAAAAAAAAAATTGCTCCTGGTTGCTTTTGCCTGGAGAAATTGCACTGGTGCTGATCATTTTCAATATGGCACTTCACCTGTTCATAAATCAAAAGCCTCAAATAATCTGAGGAAAATGGAATTGAATAAACTCAAGTGGCCAGCCCAGAGGCATGAGTTGAAGCATCAACTGAAAGACAAACCAAACTGCCCTAAAACAGTTCACCAAGTTGTAAAACTACTGAAAGAAAATACCTGAAGACTATCAAATGTTAGTGGAAAATCTTTGAAGCTGTGACAATAGACCTATGATTACACTAGTACCAAACCAACTTCAGTTAAGCATTTTTTTTTTTTTTTTTCCTTTTGTCATTAAGGACAACACAAAATATGTGTCACAAAATAAGTTCTAGCTTAAGCACAATAGAAAAATAAACAGAAAAAACTGAGAACCTGAAATAAATTTTTTAATTTCCATGCTTATTTCAATTTAAAGTAATAGTAAAAAATTTTAACTCTATTCATACACTTCCATATGCAAATTACATATAATTGTCATTTTCATAACATAATACCCAATTCTTAGAAGAAATTTTTATAACTTACCAGTATAGCATCCCTTATATTTTTCTTTATGTCTTCTATTTTCTGTTTTCGCTCACTGCAAATATTTTTACAATTAAAATATTTTTGCTTTAACTACAACAGTAAATTATTATATCAATATATGCAGTACCTTCAAAGAATCTAATATTTATTTACAGAAGGTTTAATACTAAATTTTTTCATAAAATATACTATTCTTAAGCAAGTTCAAAGGTACTCATTACATGACTATTCTGAATTAATTTTAATCTAAGTAAAAAGTGCAATTTTGAAATTTACTTTTAATGTTTGATGTGCAGTAACATCATTTGCAATACTGAAATGCTGTCTGTCAAACTCTCCCCACTGAAATTTTCTTTTTGCTCATGTGTCAATAGTAAAAGAGTTCGATATAAGAAATATACGTTAGAATTTGTTTTCAAAGAAAAAACTCGTTATCATTTTATTCTTGTTATCTCATTAATTAATTTATTTGAAGAAGTTTGTTCCCTACAGTATACTGTCAAACCATTTATCCGCAATTAAGGACACTACAGTATACTGTCAAACTATTTATCCTTAATCAAGGAATTTATAAATTGGTGGACTGAGGTCAAGATTTACTGACTGTGATTAAATATCTACAAACAGAATATTGAAACAGCATTGGAGACATTAACAATTGTTAGAGCAAGTCTAAAAATTCCTCCTTTTTGGAAACCCGACCACAAAATATGATTTATGTAGTCAGTTCGATCAAAGCAGGGACACTGTCACAAGTTGCTGATAACCCAATCAAACCAAAAGAAATATCTGGCCTTAAAAAGAGGCTTAGCGAAATTTTTGTCAATTCTCAATCGCAGAAACTCGGAAAGTTCCAACCAAACTTGAACTGGCTGACGGAAAATCACCATGACTTTTCTGCGATATGCATAACTTGGCAATGGAGCAAATGCTGGGTGAATTTTTTAAAACGTTGTGGATGCAATGACTACCACTTAACTCTCTGAGTACCATGGCCAGCTTTATCGGTCATGAGGTTTTTTGTTACTTGGTATATATTAGCTCATAATTTACAATATTTTGTTTTTGTACTTTCTTTAATAATATAAATGTCATCTTGATAAATGTCAGTTTATGAAAATAGAGCCTAAAATAAGTAAATGCATAAAAAATTAAGCTAATAAAGGCTTTTTAAATACAGGTCTTCATGACAGATCCAAAAACCTGAGCTTCTCAGAGGGTTAATATGAGGAGCATTATGTCTGTAAGCAATAATGATTTGTCTAAACTATTTACAACGGTTGACAAGATATGGAAATTAAATCCAAATTCACCTCAGTTAGCTCAAACTGTTTCGCCACCATCTGCTAACAATATTGCCCAAGACTTACAGAAACAGATATCAGACTTAGCATTGCAGTAGATGTAGAAATTGCAGTCCACAAAGATGAAGATGCATATCAAATTCAAGAAAACTTTCCAAAAAATAAGTGACACAAATAATTGTTATTTTCACTAATGCTTTGGCAAGAATGCTTACAAGTGCATATCATCATTTAAATATCATGGTTTGGAACAGGAAATCTGAATCCCTGGCTCAGACAGCCCAGACCGTAACAACAAATGCATCAGATTTCAGCATGGGTGCCGTGATCCACCAACTATATAATGGTGAAAAACAAATTGCTAAGCTTTTTCTCTTGATCCCTATCATCAATGCATAAAAAGTACAGTGCTTATAATTAAGAATGACTTGCAATCTACCTAGCCATAAAGCATTTTAAACACATTCTGGGAGGATGATCATTTACCATCTTCAATGATCATACACCTATCACCTTTGCCTTACAAAATTTAGATAAAGCCTCTCGAAGACAAGTCCAGCAACTGAACTACATTGCTGAATTTGTTAATGACTTACAATACATTTCTGGAGAAGAAAACATCGTAGCAGACACATTATTGAAAACTGAAGCTATCGCAAATCCAACTAATTGAATTTACAGTATACTTCCAATTGAATATACAGTTGCTGGAGATTGCCAGGAGGATAAAGACCTCAAGATTCCTTAATCAAATTCCAGTGGAACACTTCACAGTTCTGAAAGTTTCCACAAAAATACTCGTACAACTCTTCACAGTATTACAGAGTACAATCAGTATTTACACTTCAAACTACTAAGAACATTAAACACAAAGCAATGCAAAGCCTATCCAAAGAGGGAGGCTCTCAAGGAGATATCTCAATACTCTGGACTCGCACTGAACTGAGAAACTGATCCTCCCCACAATCTGATGGAGTTTTCCCTCTGGCTGAGAAATCGTTAGTACCTTCCATTTCTCAAAACTACTGGAAGATATAAGAGAGCTTGATACAGGTGCAGTTACTTATATGATTAAATACAATACCCATTACAGATATATATGGACTGGAGTGAAATGTTGCCAAGTTTGGCAACTTTTGACGATTTCTCTCCAAATCTGGTAACTAGTCGCCAAAACCATCACCAGTTTCACTATAGCTCATCAATTCAGTGAGATAGCCATTTACTTAATGTTAAATAGACTTGCCCCCTGTATCTTTTATGACAAAACTTCGCTTCTTTAGATTTTCATGTTACATTACACTACCCAAAATATATATATATATATATAAATTTCACATTTCACTAAAATAATTCATACATGTACAAATTTGTAGCAATATTTTTCTGTATACATAACTTATCCCATCTTGGAATTTGCACAACAATGAAGCTGGTGACAAAAATATTTACTTGGCCTGGAATAAGGACAGACAGTCAACTGTGGACTACAACATGCTTGGCATGCCAATGAGCAAAGGTTCACAAATATACCCATGCCCCAGCTGCTGAACTCAAAGTTCCAAATGAATGCTTCAATCACCTTAAACTGCTGGTCTTTTGCGCATCGGATTCCATCGCAAATTCCTTTTCTGCGACTTTGATTTCCAAATTTGGAACACCAGACAAGGCAACATCTGACCAAAGTCCACAGTTTAAAATCCTTGAGCAAATATCTAGGTTTCAAAGCTAACACAACTATAGCTCATTACTCACAATCTAATTGTTTAATCGAATGCCAGCATCCAATATTGAAAATGAATTGATTCCAATATGAATTGGAAGTTGATCTGTCAGCACTATCCTTATCTTCAGGACATATATTTTTATTTTATTTGGCTTATAATTCCTTACTAAATGTAGTATTTCATCTCGATGTACTCCGTCTTTGATATGATTTAAATCAAATTCCTCGTCATTATAATTTGTTTCCGATAGTGAAGAAAGTGACACAGAAGTTATTGAAAATGAAAAAATTTTGATTGACAAATTAGTCAGTATTCTCGACACAGCAATTATAGGACTTGAACAGCGGAACTTTGTAACTGAACAAGAAATTATGTCTGTTTATAGAATTAAAGAGAAAGTATTATCACATAAAACGAAGCAACTTAAACAACTTACATTAAAAGAAATGTTTAATAAAGTAAACAAATAAATATTAAGCTTTTTTTTTGTAAATTTTGATACCCTTTAGATCATAATTGTTCTTTATTTCATAAACTACGGTTTCATATTTTAATTTTATAATTTCTGCATGCCATCTTACTAGATTTAAACTGATGAGATCATAATACGGAAAAATCAATAATCTGGAATCGCCGAAGTCCCGACGAGTTAACAACTTTTGACTGTACACATTTATGCAGATTCTGCATTGTTTAATTTCTTTAAATACAATACAGGGCTCTAATATTTGGTGGCAACAATTTAAAAAGTGGTTCTCTTTATATAGTGAATCAATGACAAAGCCAAAATGAAATTAATAGCCTTTCTAGGCAAATTGTTCCTTTGGGGGGAAAAAAAATCAGACTTGTGAAGCCGATAACACTTCAAAATCTCATAACTTCCTAGCAACAATGATCCTTCTTAAGACATCAGCCCTAGAAACACATGATCTGGTTGAAAAGTGAGACTTCCTGCACATCTGAAAGACTATGAGGTATAACACTTTTAATGAAAAGTTGATGCGAAGCGATATAATTTGCAATACTGAAACGCCATCTGTCAAAAGTCACACAGCAATTTTCTTTTTGTTCAAGTAAAAGAGTTTCATATACAAAATAAACATCAGAATTTATTTTCAGAGAAGAAACTTATTATCATTTTTACTCTTTTTTTTTTTTTTTTTTTTTTTTTTGGTCAGAAATTTATTTGAAGAAGTTTGTCCTCTAGAGTATACTGTTAAAACATTTGTCCTTAATCAATGAACCTATAATATATATATTAATGAGAAAAATCAAAAATTAAGAAAACAAATAGTAAACAATTGTATGTAGTCAAAACTAGTCAATCACTATCTAAAAGATACAAATATGGGAAGTTTAATTCAAGAAACTATTCCTTTTTTTATCTTTTTCCTACTTTTAAAAGAAACAATATTTTAAAATTTTGTGTCAATTACATGTCAGCAGATTTAGCAACCGTAAGCTTAATGTTGGGGGGGGGGAGGATTTTTAAAAATTTCCTTATCATTGAATTTAATTTTAATGATAGAAAATATCATTAAAAACCTTTAATTTAGGAATTGGTGAAAAATTATTACAGAAAATAATTGTTATGCATTTACGAATATCATTCTTTCATTAATTTTGGAGAAAGAATTCCTCATTTCTATTCAAGAACTATATAAAAATAAGGAATAACTAGATCACTTTTACTATTATCTTTAATTATAACAAAACATAAGCACTTTTTCAAATTTTAGATACAATATCATTCGTGAAAAATAAAAATTTTGCTTATTATAGCATGTATACGGGCATATGCTCCTTTTTGTGCGTGTGAATTCTCTGAATCATTAAATATTTCGTCATAAGAAACGGAACTACATTTGTATGGCTACTAGATTAAAATAGTGGTGAACTATAAAAATTACACATTACCATGCAGCACTCACATTTTTGTCCAGCTGTGAAAACATGGAACAAAAGCAAACTACGCATCATATAGTAGTAATATGATAATCAAAATCCTTATGGCCTATATT